AGTTATAGGCACTCCAATTGTCTAGACCGCTATAGAAAACTCGTAGCAAATAATAATAAGACTTCTCAAACTGGTTTGTTGGCCCCTGAGAATGCTCACACGGGAAGTGCTCCCACACCAAGTCCAGTGATGGGAAGAAACTTGGTTGAGACCAATGAAGAAAACAATATGGTAGAAAATACTGATGGGATCTCCATCAGCTTATTTGAAAGGTTGGAAGAAAATAATAGTAATCAAGTGCATGAGACAACTATGGAAGGTCATGGTGAAGAAAGGCAAGGACAGGAGGAATCTGGTGGGATTGAGACCTCCGAATCAAACTCTCTGAAGTGTCCCCTTTGTCGAGGTGCTGTGTTGGGTTGGACGATTGTCAAAGAGGCAAGACAGTATCTGGACCAGAAGCTGAGGAGTTGTACCAGGGAATCATGCTCATTTTCTGGAAACTATAAGGAGCTTCGCAGACATGCCAGGAGAATCCACCCTACCACGAGGCCTGCTGATGTTGATCCATCACGACAGCGTGCCTGGCGCCGCATGGAACATCAACGGGAGTATGACGACACCCTCAGTGCTATAAGATCAGCAATGCCTGGTGCAACTGTGATAGGAGACTATGTCATTGATAGCGGAGATGGTCTGTTACATGACGGAGAAAGAAATGGATCAGGTGAACGTGCTCGACCATGGTGGACTACTTTTTTTCTTTTTCATGTGGTCAGAAGCCCAATCGAGTCCCTTGATGAGCCAAGGGGCTCATCTCGAGCTTGGCGTAGACATCGACGTTTGGGACACCATAACCTATGGGGTGAGAACCTCATGGGTGTGCAAGATGTTGATGAAGATAGCACAGGTGATGATGCTCAAGTACCAAGGAGGCGTCGGAGGTTCCTGAGAACGAGACCAGACGAGGATCAGCCATGAGATGCTTATTTTCCTGGTAATTGTAGACTTTCCAGCTATACCTGAACCATGGGTGATTCTGAATAAATTGTTCTCTTTTTGGAATCTCATCTGACAAAAACTGCTTTGTTCTGAAATCTCATCTGATAGTTGAGGCTGTTGCATTAACTGGATCACAAATTCTGGAGCTTCAAATCGATTGATGTCAAGCCTCGAATGGCTGGTCAGAAATGATGTCAAGACTAGAATGACTGGTCAGAAATGGTTCTGTTCATGTAGACATTCTGAATATGATTTATGTGCCCTGTTGTAATTGCATCGATCCATACGGATCATGAAGCTGAAGAGGCCTTGTGGGCTATGAGGGAGCATGATCTGAGATACCTGCATTCTCTTGTTTGTTGTTTATTATCGAAATCTTAAGAGTTCCATGTGAAAGACTTGGTGGTTTTAATCAAAATGTACATAGTTTGATTCCTTCCATGCTTTTTTATCCAGCTATTAAATTTCTTGCAGATTTTTGTTCAGCTCTCTTGTCATGGATGCTTAATCTTGCTGGACCAGTTAACACTTGTGCTCAGATTTTTATGTTGAAACACATCAGCATTTGTGATATGTCATTTGACCTGGATACTATTTATGTAACTTTGGCTTTTGCTTCGATCCATCGCCTTCCTCAAGTGGAACCTTGGGTGACCTGGTTCCTTTGCCAAGTTCACCATTTAGCACACGTACAATAATAACTATGTTTCTTGCTTCCCTTTTTACGCTACGACTGTAAATGATGTGCATGTTTTTATAATTTCACTCGGACTAGTATGTATAGGGCAGTATTTATCGGTTGGAGAGGCTCAATCTATTTGGTTGGATAAATTCCATTTTGTTTTTTTTTTCATTTCAATAAATTTTATAAGATAAAAGCTCGATCTCTCTCTCATCTGTCTTTTTCACGTTTGTCGTAGCTTTTAATTGCTCATTGTCCAATACTCATCTTCTTCTAATTTTTTTTATTTTACTTCTTGTCTCTCGTCGTGGTTTGTTAACTTGCTGTCCGATACTCGTCTCATTTTATTTTTTTACTTCATTTCTTATCTCTCTCTCATTTTCTTTCTTCCAAGTGCTTGTAACAATTTTATCAATGGATTATTTATCGCTTGTGTTTTCTCTTATAGTGTGATTTGACTATATTTTATTTATTTTTTGAGTATTTATTTTTTTCTTATTTTTTAGACCAAGGGAGTTGCAAGGTTACCTAACCTAACAATCACTAGTCGAAGAGGAGTCAATATAGGCCAAAATAGCTCTATTTTCACATGTTGTAAATTGATTTTTTTTCAAGCTAGTGGCGCGACTGCGAGTTAGATGAGGATTTGGGGTAATGTCAAAGATCAATTTGGAACTCTCAAGATTGAATATACATAATACGTATTTGTAAAATAATTTGGTGTGGTTATCTTATCTTTTCATTGTTCAAAATTCTTAGTTTCTCTTTACAATCCAAGTATTTAATGAATTGCTTTGTTCCAGAGATATCGGAGCTCATCCATTAAAACTAATCATTTTTCATTTTAGACCCTTGCGAGATTGTGTTAAAACTGATCCTTTGAGGATAGAAATCATAAAAGTACCTCACAACTTAAGGAAATATGATATTTGGTACCCAAGCTGACACAAACCAAAAAAGTTCACACAATTGCTATCAAGAAACACCAAGGTGATTCGAGCACGATTGTCCAAAGGAGCAGCCACCCACCCACATAGCCGCAGCAGAGGCCGAGGTGTAGACTAATGCATAAACCGCTGGAGCAGCTCCATCTCATGAGAAGCACGATAATAAAAATGGTGATCCAAAAGTAGACTGCTCTCTTGGAGTAGACAGAGGAAGTGAAATCTAGATCGATGTCACTAACAACGCAATATAAGAACCGGACTAACAAAGCTCGAAGCTGGTCTCAATGGTCTCCAACCAGCATAGCATGGAGGAACTCAACCAAACCAAAGCTAACGTCGACTACATGGAGCAAAGAACTCATATAAAGAAACTGAATCATGGATGGATCGATCAGATGAAATTTTTGATCGAGGGAGTCAACGCAACTGTGGCCAATGCAGCGTTCGTATGCTCGCATGGCAAAGACTTTGCTGAAGAAGAATAAGCAAAAGAAAAATTCTGCTTTTGAGTATCCAAAAGCGAGTCAGTAGGCGATCATTCTCTTTGATCTATAGCAAATCTATAATTTTCCTTCTTCCTTTTCAGCTACCCTTCCAACTTTGATCTATGATATAAATTATACATCATAGATGAGTTAGGCACATGCAAAAGGGTGAGAAAAAGAAGCCTCCGAAGCCACAAACACAAAGAAGACCGCTCGGCGTCCATCATCCAATGATTTCAGCGTGAACATGAATCTTCTCGTGGCAACTTCAAAGCTCTCTTCGAGTCAAAGCTAAAGAGCTGCATCCAATTAACAAGTCTTCCCATCGAACCTACTTCGAAAGTGCCTCCATCCATCTGGCTGCTTACACCATTGCGTGCCGCACTCGGAAGCTTTGGCCCATAGAATAGGCAAAGCTAGGGTGCAGGGAGGATGGCTCTACTCATTTCCGAGAACAACACAGACTCATAAACAAGGGAGGAGTGGGGTTTCCAACATGAAAGGATCGCACCACCACAAGTATCGCCGGTGTGCTTTTCTAGCCTCCATGGGCAGGTTCTCTAGCATTGGCACAAACCACTAATCAAGCACTTGAGCATATTTATTTTGATAGCATATTAGTGTTAAGGCTAAGTTCATGAACCTGCATTTTAACCATGTAGCACAGCAAGCTTTGAACAATTTGTAATCACTTCCATCGACCTGATGACGATTAACCACAGTTCTACGCTCATAATAAGATTTACTATTGGCTTAAGATAAATAATATGGAGCATTTGTGTGCATGGAAACATAAGACCAAGAGTGCTGTGGTTCTTCCTCGGAAAACAAACACAGAAAGGACTCGAGTGAAGGCCAATTATGGATGGCAACTTGGCAATCGGAGACCTAGCTGGGGCCCACCGGCACACGTGGAAGGAACAGTCAGCAGCAGCCGCTCGCTTCGTCTCCGAGCCACGGTCGCCAGAGACTGCACTGTGGCAAAAGAGGTAGCAGAATGCCTCCTGGTCCTAACCATTTGTTCTTTTTGAGTTTATTTAGCCTTCCAATCTTTTGATGAAATCGACTTCTTAACTTCTTTTTAATTCATGCATAGACTAAGATAATTGAGAAAATTATACATATATATATTAAAAAAATATTTTTATTCATGAACAATCGAACTAATTTTTGTTCTTATGACGAAACTACGAAACTAAATCTGGTTCTTGAACTCATTTTTTTATGTATAAATTGCAAATCTGAAAATTTGCACTACAATTAATTTCACTTGTATGTTTCAGAAGCTGTGCAGGGAATGTTGTTTGAAGGCTGCCTTGAGAGCTGCACATGGAATTGTTGCTTCGAGGAAAAGACCCTCAGGCTCAATTATTCTCACAAGTCAAAAGACTTCATGTGGGAATGATATAACACCTCCATCATATCTTGTTTGAGTTCTATCAACTCCTGCCTCTCCATTTAAGCACTTGAGTAGCTTAAGCTCAATTGCTTTTACAAGTCAAAGTCAAAGGTTAGATCAAGTGAGAGTGGTGTAATCAACCATCATATGTGCTCAAGTTTGAGCAGCTCCATCCATATAAGCACTTCAAAAGCTCGAGTAACACCAGAAATAGGGAAGACTAGAATTGCAAGCAACATAGATTGGATTGGATGTGGAACCATTGTAATTTTCATTTGTCTTTCTTAGAAACAGAGAGGTGATCATATTTGGATACCACATCCATGGGCAAATATAAACTAAACAGTAGAAAGAAAGCCATTGTTTTTTGATGATAGAAGTTGAGATTTAAAAGAATAACTCTCTCTAAAATAAATTATTCTATTGGATTGTTTATCTGATCATTGCTACCACAATGCAATTTGTTAGGGTATGATCTCATGGAAGAGTCCTTGAGGAGGAGGATAGTGAAACACACAGACTCAGCCATTAGCATCTCTTCTGCAGGAGGGGTCATATGGCAACTCCAAGAATGCCAACTACAACAGTTATCTATAAGAAGAACAAAGATCTTAGCACAACAGAAGAACTCATGGCTCTCAGTGGGAAGGAAGAACTGGTGAGCTAATTCTGTGATCATAATGAGAGGTCCAGAGGGGGGGAGGGGGGTGATAGGAAGCAGGTCAAACTCATCACCCCAATCACACTCATCATTGAAGAAATATTGGCAGAATGATAGTTAAGCTCTGTTATCCATGCTGACAGAATGACAGTGATTGATCCAACAGCTACTGCTTCCTAATGATTGCATCCTCTAGTGAGCATAAATTCTCTACTGCAAGCACTGAACAGCCTTCAACACTTACAGCAATGGGTGACAACCTGGTAGATTGCTGGCCTAAATATGTTGTGAATCTGTGGGCAGAGTCTGATCCTTCCAGTGTAAAAACCCAATCCATTTCAGGTATTACTGGAGGCTGCAGATTTGATGAGAAGATGAAATTTGCATCTTAATATCCATGAAGGCCTTGCTCAGAAGCTTCAGGTTATAAATACTGCAAAGCTTTATGGAAGGGCCATGCTCATCATTTGACAAGTCCCCAGCACATGCAGCTCTCATCAGCCTTGGCCTCTATTTAATCTCTTCCCTATGCTCCCAACCTTCCTCACTTCAGTACAAGTCTTCCTTTGCTTCATTGTCTTCCTCTCCTAATTCCCTTTCTCCATCAGTCCCTCACTGTCACATCTCCCTCCTCTCTCTCTTCCTATCTCCAAAAGCCAAACTCCATTGGCAGCAGAGGCATCATGACTTCAGACCAGTAAGCTCGGCAAGTGCTTCAGCCACAAGCTCAAGCTTCTTCCACCTCGCTTCTCGTTCCAACTGCCACTCGGCCATCTGAAACAACCGTTCATGGCCGGTCTGACCGAGCAGTACGACTTCCTGTCGCGGCGGTGCGTGTGGGTCAACGGTCCGATCATCGTCGGAGCTGGGCCGTCCGGTCTAGCTGTGGCAGCTTGCCTGAGGGAGAAAGACGTGCCTTTTGTGATCCTTGAGCGCGCCGACTGCATTGCCTCCCTCTGGCAGAAGCGCACCTACGACCGCCTCAAGCTCCACCTCCCGAAGCAGTTCTGCCAGCTTCCCATGCTGCCCTTCCCGGAGGACTACCCGGAGTACCCTTCCCGGAAGCAGTTCATAGACTACTTGGAGTCGTACGCGAAGCACTTCAAGCTCAGCCCCCGGTTCAACCAGTCGGTGCAGTCGGCGAAGTACGACGAGACGAGCGAACTATGGAGGGTGAGGGCCGCCGGTGCTTGCGCTGAGCCCGGAAACGTGAGCGCCGACGTGGAGTACATTGGCCGGTGGCTCGTGGTGGCCACCGGCGAGAATGCGGAGGAGGTGGTCCCCGAGCTGGAGGGGCTGGAGGAGTTCGGCGGCGACGTTAAGCACGTCTGCGACTACAAGTCCGGCGAGGCCTACCGGGGGAAGCGCGTCCTGGTGGTCGGCTGCGGCAACTCCGGCATGGAGGTCTCGCTCGACCTGTGTGACCATGACGCCTCCCCGTCCATGGTAATCCGCGACTCGGTAAGCAGCATCAACGGCCATACGATGCATGCAACTCCCAGCATCTAACACGAATCCAATTCCTGACCGAGCTGCTCATCCATCTTGATCGCAGGTTCATGTGCTGCCCAGGGAAGTGCTGGGGAAGTCGACGTTCGAGTTAGCGATCCTGCTGATGAAGTGGCTGCCGCTGTGGCTGGCGGACAAGATTCTCCTGGTGTTGGCATGGCTGGTGCTTGGCAACGTCGAAAGGTTCGGCCTGAGGAGGCCTTCCGCTGGTCCTCTGGAGCTCAAGAACACGCAGGGGAAGACTCCGGTTCTGGACATCGGCGCACTCGGCAAAATAAGGTCAGGTGACATCAACGTGGTGCCCGGAATCAAGAGGCTGTCGCCGGGAAAGGTCGAGCTCGTCGACGGCCGGCTTCTCGACGTGGATTCGATCATTTTGGCCACCGGATACCGCAGCAACGTCCCTCAATGGCTTCAGGTACTTACACCCCATGTTCTTCACTGTTCTCTCAAGCTTGGCAGTCGAAGTTGGTGACGCACTATGAATGGTCTAAGGTTCTGTAGGAAGAAAAGATTTCCTGCTCGTTGACTTAATCTATCTATGCATCCATCAGCGACATCATAAAGCTGATAACTATCTGGTTCCATTTGCAGGGATGCGATTTCTTCTCCAAGGATGGAGTGCCAAAGTCTCCCTTCCCTAATGGGTGGAAAGGGAAGTCTGGGCTCTATGCTGTTGGCTTCACAAGGAGAGGGCTCTCTGGTGCCTCCTCAGATGCAGTGAGGACAGCCATGGACATTGGCAGGTTGTGGGGAGAGGAAACAAACGTAGCGAAGAGGATCTTTGCTTGCCATAGGAGATGATGATGCATCACACAGAGCTAAAAACAACACTCCTTTCATGGTTCTGCTACTGGCTGTAGATAGTGTAAAGAAGACCATAAGAGTGCACCAAACCCTCTGTCAATGGAGCCCAAGTTTTGAGACTTGGATGGGAGTGATGTACATAGAACAGTTGATGTTGATGAGGCTTTCCTTTTTATTTTCACCTGCACTTTTGGCTGCTTTGTACAACATTTCAATGAGGACAGTATCATTTTTCATGCTTCACATTTCAAGGCAACTTTTCTCTCTCTCTCTCTCTCTCTCTCTTCTTTTTTTTTTTTTGAAATACTTCACATTTCAAGGCAACCTTTCTCTTCATCCCTCCCAACAAACACAACAAAGCCATTGTTTGCTATGTTTTTTAGCCATGTACTTTGCTTGTCTTCAGACTACAGCAGCCACTGCATTGCTTCTGCCATGGTACTACTGGAAAGGCTGATAAGATCCTGCAGGATCCTCAAAGGATTGGAGTGAAATCTATGCTGCAGCTGTACAGCATCAATGATATTACTGGAATTAAATGCAAGGAAGGCATGCCAGTGCAGTAAAGAAATACTGCAAGTTGAATGATTAATTTCTGAAAAAGAAATAAAGCTCAGGACTTTATTGCAGGGAGTCAGCTGTGGCCAACTTGCAGCTCTCCCCTCCCCCCACTCAGAATAGAAGCACCAAGCCACATGTCAGAGGCCCACCAAATCATTAGCTCCTAAGATTCCCTCAAGGTTGATGTTTCACTTGGCTCCCAACTCTCTAAACCATCCTTTCTTAGTTACATAAGAGGAAGAAGAGCAATGAGAGGGTCCTTTTGAGTAAGATGGGACTCCCATGTTCTCCAGCACTAGTCACTCCAGTCACCTTTTCTCATTGATCGAATGCATGTGAAGAGAATCCTGAAGTGCTATTTCATCCCAATCCTGGTGTGGGGGATCAAAAGCATACAACTCTGTGCCAGATTCGGAATTCAGCAGTGCTTCCAGCACCAAGGCATCATGCAACTGCATTGGACCATTTGCCCCTCTCTCTTTTCTCTACTGGAATGATACTCTTTTCACCCATGCCTAGACCTCTGATTCTGAGATACCTCTGAGAAGTCTTCAGTTGCACACCCCGTTACTGCACTATCACATGCATCTCAAGGACTCTGCATATTGCCTTCTTGCATCTCCAACCAGGGCCCCGACCTTGTTGCATTTGTCCATGCCCTAGAGCAAGAAGTGAGGAACTGCCATTAATGGAAGATAGGATTGTGTGTGTACCCAAGCAACCAAGCAAACATATGTACACATATGCATCATTACTGTTCGATGCCCATGCATAAGTCAGATGGAAGTTGTTAAGGTAAATTTTCTCTGATGAAGAAGAAGAAAAAAAGGGCAACAGCTAAGCTGAATCAAAGTTCAGAGTTTTTTTATGTCAGTATTAGGGTCAAATTGGCCCCTCTATCTTCTTTCACATAGGAGAAAAAACCTTTGAAAGATCTCAAGAAGAACTGTAGTTGTTGTACTTTCTGATATTTTCTCAGGCCTTTTTTCATACAAAAGAGAAGGACAAAAAGAAGGCTGGATAATACAGTTTCAATTTCTATATGGAGGATGTTCTTTTTCTTTTTCACAGAACTACCACACAGGCAGCAATCTTTGTTGACTTTAAACTGCATTTGTCTAACAAGTTCACCAACATCCCCATATAAATCTCTGTGATTCTTGACTCTGTGGCCAGTTGCGTCTAATGGTTATATAGAGAATCGCACTACCTTCAAGTTTATCATATTATAAGGAAAAAGAAAATCTGATTCCCCTGTGTTCATCCTTCATACTTAACTTCTTGCTCTTTTGATTGTAGAGGCATTGCTGCTTCATGCATAATTTATGTGAAGACTACTTTGACATAGATTTACCAATTATTGTCCGATCATGAAGCAAGTTATTTAACACAGTTATTCTGACTGCATGAAAACTTGAATAAGCTAAAGTATTTACGAAATGGCTGTTATTGAATGCAATTATAGGGTTTCCAAAAACAAAAAAAGAACTCTAAACTTAATGTGGCCATTAGATGGTGACCAAATACTTCCAAAGTTCAGCAGTTAATCAATCAGGTCATATAAGTGGTGTAATAAAATGGAAAGATTTATGAATTCATTCAGATATTTTAGCAAACGATGACAATAAATAATTTAATTGTTACATTCAACCCTTTGCATTTTCATGTGGAAGAGAACATCAAATGTAGTCCTTAATCAATGTACTGAACATTCAATCTATGATCAGGACTTGTCGAAATACTAGAAGGCTACCCATCAGATTGGAGACTGACAAAGATTCTATAATTCCCTGGAATAGACAACACATGCTGAACCTTGCAAGGCTCCAAAAATGAGGCAAAAATTCTACAGGCTTTGTTCTAATACACATAATTAGATAGTGATTCATGATGTTGCATCTGTAACAACTGAGGGGAGTGTTTGCAGATCACCATCAAGGGTTTCAGTAGACTTGGAGAACTGCTCTTAAGCCTATGCATCAATGACATTATCATGTTTGTCAGCTTATTTAGTTTGTTGTTCTTTCTTTTTCTTTTATATGGGCTGTTGCAATAATTCTCCATTAGATGCTTATGAAGCTTGAAATGTGCACCAATCAAAGACAGTTCTTAAGAAAGTACTAGCTCGGTATGGTATTTGACAGTCCGAATTAGCTTTTATAGTTTAGCTTAATGCAGGGGATTGACCTTATGGATATTTGAATACTTTTATGAGATTGAAGTTTGCATTCATTTAAATGCGTGTGGACATTTCGAAATATAATTCCATAGCTCAAGATAAACTTGCAGAAGAGATAATAAAATAAAATAATCATTGCATTTCAATCTATGCAACATTTAAGTATGCAAAATTTATAAAACGTTTCTGTTGGAAATATGAGAAATTGGAATGGGTAACTCAACCAGAATTTGCTCTATATATGAAAAGAAGCTACAGCATTGTGGAATTTAGATGGTCCAAAAATAAAACAATTCAACATTGTTCTTTAAGCAGTAGAGAATTGCATTGGGCAGTTGTGTTTAACTAGCTTCCTATCTGTTACCTACATATTTGAGAATATTGATAAGAATAATCAATTCAATCATACTGATATAGGATGAAGAGGAAGGAAATGAATGCAGAAACTCCAAAAAATGCCATGGTACCTGTTACCTACAAATTTGAAAATATTGATAAGAATAAAACACAATTAGATGAATGATAAAGTAACATATAGAGAAAATGTATGAGAAAATGAACAAGAGTAGTTAATCTTTAAGATGAAAAATTTAGGAAGCTTAAAATGCTGACCTGGGTAAATCCCCTTGGTGGGGGATCACTGTTATTCTCAAAGAGCCAAAAACCTTCTCACTGATATGATCGATGACAATGCCGAAAAATAATATATGTCTTCCTGAACTGTGAGGTTACAAGGAATTATTCTGTCAAGATATATCGAACCTAAGAGTCCTAAATAAAAGGAAATTTGAAATTTAAGATATCAATGAAAATCATGAATATGCCTCAGTTAATGATAACAATAACAGATTATCACTACATTGATTTATACCGTCTAGTATCAATGAATTAATTAACAAAAAAAAAAGAATGAGTTATACACCGAAAAGCATTGAGTTTTGTGACCTCTTAGCAATACTTGGTTGAATTGGTAAATACTAGTGGGTACATAAACCCTGCTTTATGCTAAATCCTTTTTTGCTGCTTCTTTTTTTCAAATGAAGATAGACTACACAAGTATCAGTGTGGGTGTTTTTCCTTTTTCCCTCACATTCGACGTATCCCTTCAGTTGTTCTTATGATGAGAAGCTTTTAGTAAGAAGATCTAGCAGCAAGAATTACTTCTTCCATTGAAGGGAAGTCCTTGCTAAATGGTATAAATAAATCATGGATCCACAGAGCCATATGCAATAGATAACATGTAAATTATATTTTCTAGTAGTGCAATCAGTTTCTGCCATAGAAAAATCATACAAGAGAAGCACAAGAGGATCACAACTTATCATGTCCTGACTCATAGAGTAGGATAGCATGATATGGTGAAGATAAAAAACTTGAGCTTTCAGCTCTAAGAATATGTGCTAGAAGAAGAGATGTCTCACTTATTGGAATTGATCTGCTGAAAAAGGAGAACAGAAGTTGGACAAGCTCACCTTGAAATTAACCTTTCTTCTGTCGCATTTCAGTGAGTACCATCTTAGCAGGATGAAAGTGACCATAAAACCCCACACCATCATGAGCTTTTGAGTGTTGATTTCAGAGTAAGACAATTTTGGGGCTGCAATCAATGAAGAAACTGAGAGAAAGACAGGATAACTCTCGAAGTCGCCACATCTTGAGAGTGAAGTGGTCCCCAGTGGCAAACGACACGTGAATGGAAGCAATTCTTTAATGTCGAACCACGGTGGCAGAGAATCTGAGGTGGAGATCGACAGTGGGTGAGGACACCAGAGGACCCACCTACCGGCTATGATGGGCAAGTGGACCAGTTATCGTCTCTTTGTGGAGCAGATAGAGTCAATGATCCCTCCATGAAGGCAGCCCTTAGGTTAACCAGCATCAAGATTTGGAACGGTTGAATGGTGGTCCATCTAGGATCCAGATTAATAGTTCACTGGTCCCAACTCCAGAGAATATGATTAAGTTCATCTTAGAAGGTGTCATTCCAGTGTCGCCATCTGTCCATGTGATACCCTCATGGGCTTGCACTTTAGTAGAGTGTTCCACTTGGTAAGTAGCTACTTCACCAGTCAATTACACAATAATTATATTCCCTCCGTGACACAGGCTTCTTATTCCATCAGAAAATAACTGGGTTCATAATGTGCTGGCTGGACCTGGATATTTGAGCAGTATCAATACTGAATTGATGACTACAACTGATTAAAACATCACTGAAACAAGGAGCTCATCATCTTCTCTGAAGATTCACTGAAACAAAAGATTGGATTTATCTTAATACATAGTAACAGAAGTATGAACACAATTAGAAAGTTGACAAATGGGAATAACAAGGACAGTGTACCTTCTAGTGTTTATCGTACAAGTAATGAAATAATTTTTGCATGCTTGATCAAATTGTTCCTTCTTGGAACCAAGGGCTTTCAGCAAGATGCAAACCTCCACAACCACACACATTCAGCTTCTCTGTTCCTGCATATCACTGTCCAGGACCTATAAATGCAATCATTGTCTGAGAAGGATTGAAGGATTATTAGTCCACTAGCCAAAGTTACTAGTGGTCAAATGTCTACAGACTCTCAAAGGAAGTATTAGGTAATAAAGTCCCTTCAGATCAAGTGAAGAATATTAATAACATGTCTGTAAATCTACATGCATTCAAAATGGTTTCCAGAAAAAATGACAGGGAAAGACAGAAGGTCAGAAGTAGACAAAAGGGATTTGACTTCTAATGGAAACCCCTTACAAAGTCATATCAACAGCCATACCTAGAAAGCATTGTCAACTTTTATTTTGACTTCACTATGTAGCTAAATAGTTCTACCACTAGTAACTTAGGCTTAAGCAATTTGAACCATGTGATTAAAAAAAAAAACAATATCCAAGTTATCAGGTCTAATGGGCCTAAGATTGGGTTATGACAACTTTGTGGATCGGTTAACATGTATCAAGCAAGGTTTACCATGTGCAGACAAAGATGGGATTTCTTCAAATATTAACTTACATTGGAACTGCACAAGGCACATATTTTAGATACTGTAACGGTCTTGGATGAGAATGTCAAACCTTTGAGTAGAGAATGTCAATGAGTGTCATTAAATGTATTCCATAGCATCAAATTGTAATTGAAATTAATAAAATTTATTTAATTATATAAACTATTAGTTAATGACAAATTATTTATATTATCGTCAAATAGTACATGCATAAAATGGTCATGCAAATTGTTTCGCATATGAGCCAGCACATGGGTGGAGAAATAAATGAAAGGAAATTTCAAGTGCTGGAATTCGAAGTTGAAGTAGACAAAGAACCTACCCCGTAGTCCCCTGTAGTCTAACATTTCAAGGGAATCTCATCACAAACATATAAACATTTTATTAGTGCACAGTGAATACCCAATTAAAGTGGCTTGCCCAGAAAGACATAACACCACAGGCATTCAGATGATTGACTTTTGTGAGACCTAGGCAACTTTATCAATGGCGAACAAAAAGCCCTCCCAAAGAACCAACTTTTTGCAAGTCCGATAGAAGGCTAGCATCCTCTGATGACAGACAAATCGAAAACCAGCCAAACCACGGCAATTTGCAAGCAGTTGAAGTGAGCAATGGGGGGGAAAGGACAAGACAACATCAAACCCAATGTACCATGTAGCAATAACGACGGCAATATAGGGGACCGGTCACGGAGTGCTCATCGACCGTGTGCGAACCGGCATTTCCTTCGATTGAGAAAGATACAATCTTGGAGAAGAAAAAAAGGGATTCGATCGAGAGATAGAAAGCGTACCATGCTCCCGGTGCTCAATCCTTGTTCGTGAAGATTACGATCTGACATTTGGAGTTGGTGGAGGTACGCTATTCCGATTGCTTGCTCCAAGCGGCACCGATGGATTTCCCTGCATTACCTTTCTGAGAGAGCTGCGTTTTATCTCTCACACATATCTCGCAGGTTGTTTCTTTTTTGCTTTTTTCCTCCGAAGGTTTTGGCCACTCGATAACTATATGTATATATAAATATATGTATGTATGTATATATATATACATATATATATATATATATGTATATATATATATATGTATGTATATATGTATATATATATATATATGTATGTATATATGTATATATATATATATGTATATATGTATTTATATATATACACACACACCCACTAAGTTTTTGAATCTTTTAAATTTTAGATTAAAAAAAATGTTGAATCGTTGTGATCATCTTATTTCAATATTATTTGATATAATTCCTAATAAATGGGGAGTATGTTTTTCCATAAGGTTTCAAATAAGCATCAAAATCACAAAAGTTTAATAAATAATCTTTTGTTTTATTTAATGATTTGTGACATTATGATCACCAATATATCATAATATTATTTGATATAATTTCTAAAACACATATGTTTTAAGAAAAAACAAAATGTATCAATATATATATAATTTTAATAAATAATAAAAAAATCATCTTTTTATAACAATAATAGAAAGAAACTCACATAGTAATATGTATATAACGTAAGTGAACATATTTTCAAATAATAATATGTTTTCCTAATAGATATTGTCTGTGGGATCTGACCAAATATATTTGTTTGAATTTTTATGTCATAAAACAATAACCATTTTATGAAAATAATATTATTAAATTATGAATTTAAATCTAGTGGAGCTAAGTATTTTTAAAATAATCATATATTTTGCTAATGGATATTATCTTTCCAATTCAACCAAATATATTTATTTTAATTTTGATAAACAATGAAAAATTATAGTTAAATTCACAAAGTAATATGGTGAATTACAAAGCTCAATTTTCCAGCAATCAAAGTGAAACAAGGGGCAATACATTTGCAACATAAAAATATGGATTCAAAAGGCTAGTCTACGAGACAAATGACTTTGACATATGGTATTTGCCTAGAATGTTTGAAATAGAGGTTTGAATCTAAAATGGAGGTCCAATTGCCCCAATCAGCAATTCAAGAGATTAACATGATGAAGTTATGCAAGACAATCATCAACTTGACATCTCTGAAGGTCCACATAAAGCTAGAACGATATCAATATTGATTTTGAAGTGGTCTAATGCCTAAGTTAGTGAGACATAATGTAATATTATAGATAGCAACTGCAAAGATGATCACACATTAAAAGAGAGAAAAGAAGAAAATTAGAATGCAAAGATAATGAAAGGAAAAAAGGGGGAATATATATCATTTAGTCGGACGCAGAACATGAATACATCACAAGTTATCCTCTTCGGAGGAGAGATTGGAAACCGGTGAGGATGCCAAGCTCCCAGCCTTCTGTTTAGACTCGACCAACATGAATACAACTTCGTGCATCGCTGGTCTGTTCATCGGTGACATACTTGTGCATTGCAAGGCAATTTTCAAGACCATGATCATGTGACCGACGACAACCCTATCTTCCAAATTCAATTGACTATCAAGTATTCCAGAAGTCAAAGAACTGGTTCTGATGTGTGTCCTTACCCATGTAACAAGGTCACCTCCTTGATCTAAGGGCTGTACAGGTGTTCTTCCAGTCAGTAGTTCCAGAAGGACAACTCCATAGCTATAGATGTCACATTTTTCGGTAACTTTCATGGTATATGCATATTCTGACAGAAAATGATGTCTGTTAGAGCTAATTAGATATGCTAATGATAAAGCTAGAAAATCTGAACTCAGACGAAGATATTATCCGATAACAGGCACTCAGGATGCAGATGAACACACAAAGCGCAACAAACCAAAGCATGGGAAAATATAGAAACATCAGATGCATGATCAGAAAGATAGAAATGAAGTAGATATTCCCCAATATATAATAATACATCGATGAAAGAGGAAAAAGCGAGCATAAGTGACCATCCATGGGAAATAGTCATTAAGAACACAGATTGTTTTCTTTATCATGAGGAACAAGGATTACATCATAGTTGTTATTATAAAAAAGATTGTATAGAACATTCTCTCAGAGAGCATTACAATATGTGCAGAATTCAACATTGTAATGAGTGAATCCAGAAGGAACTAACTCAGACTTTGGCAAATCCTGTCCAAGCAAGAATTTCTAGACAATTTTTCTAATGTGCTAATGTAGGTTAAGAGACGCACTTTGAACTATATTAAAAATAAAAACAGAGTACACAAGTCCCAAATTTACACCAACCGGATGAAGAAAAATCGGAAAGCATGGTCCACACAGGTTATAGTAATCAATCTTTATTGTTATGTTTTCACAAAATAAATCAAAGATCAGCTCTAAGGTTAAACAATTGTGTAACAGCTTTCCTTCTGATAACCATGCTGCTTCTTCAGTAAAACAGTCAGCAAAAATGAATAGGAAAAAGTAACACTCAAACACGGCGAATCCAGCCTCAGGAGAAAAAGGCAACTCAAGGTAGAAGAAAATGGCAAAACAAATAATGGTATTTAAGTTGACTTACCAGGTGCTATGTACCCATATGATCCAGCAACTGCAGACATTGACTTCGATTGTGGCATGTCGATCACCTTTGCCAATCCAAAGTCTCCAACATGAGCTTCAAAGTTCTCATCAAGCAGAATATTGTTCGACTTGATATCTCTGTGAATGATCCGGGGCTTGCAATCATGGTGCAAATATGAAAGTCCCTCAGCAGCCCCAAGCGCAATCATGAACCGGGTGTCCCAGTCAAGAGAAGAAGAGCAACCTCCATGAAGCGACTCAGCCAGGCTGCCTCTTGACATGTACTCATACAGTAGAAGGTTGGAACCCTGGTGATAGAAGAAACCATATAGCTTGACAATGTTTCGATGCCTAATCTTTCCAAGAGTCGAAATCTCTGCATGAAAGCTATTTTCCGCGTTGCTACTGTCTCTATTAGATGCTAGCTTCTTGACAGCAACTGTTTGCCCAGATTGCAGAACAGCTCTGTATACTGTTCCACAAGCACCCCTTCCAATTACATAACTCTCATCAAAATTATTTGTGGCAGCAACTAGGTCCTGGAACGTAATTTTCTCTTTTGGAAAGATGTATGTATCTGAATCTGTATTACCTGGTTGCTTGTCATTGACAGGTGCGACTGTCTCAACAGGTCTTATCATGATATATACAATCACAGCAATGAGTACAAGAGAAATTCCTCCAATGGCAGCAGCAATTATTGCAATCGTCTTACCCAAGTAGGCACTTGTTCTAGCTGATGGAGATGTAGACGATGGCGACAAACCACATTGACCGAGAGGTTTACCACAAAGATCCCTATTTCCTATGAAGCTACTTAGGGCCATGTTTTGAAACAATGGAATAGGAGGTATAGGCCCTGTGAGATTATTATATGAAACATTCAGTCCAAGTAAGCTAGACAGATGGGCAAATGTCGATGGAATTTCGCCAGTTAAGTGGTTATTGTTCAACCAAACATATTCCAGAAGGGAAAGATTGCCAAGCTCTGGTGGTATATTTCCTGAAAGATTGTTGTAGCTAAGATTCATCGCAATTTGTAAACTTGAAAGCTCACCCAATTCCTTAGGTACTGTACCAAAAAATTCATTACCGCCCATCTGCAGCTCTGTCAGATGAGAGAGCTTTCCTATGATGGAAGGTATTGTTCCTGAGAACTTGTTATCAGAAAGTATAAGCAGTTCCAACTGCAAAAGGCTTCCAACTTCATCAGGCAATGCCCCTAAAAACTGATTCTTGCTGAGGTCAAGTCGCTGGAGCATCTTACAGTTGAAAATCTCTGGAGGTATGCTTCCTCCAATTTCATTGGATGAGATGTTAAAGATAACTAACTGTGACAGATTACCAATCTCCCTTGGCAATTTATGTGTGAAGAAGTTGTTAGGAAGAATAAGCCTCTGCAAAGCTTTGCATTGCCCTATCTCTGATGGAATGGGACCACTGAATCTGTTCTCATCTAACTCAATAGCAGTAAGATTGACCAGCTTGCATAAATCAGAGGGAAAGCTTCCTGTGAGACTGTTCTTACCGAGACGAAGTTGCACCAAGGATTTACAATTTGTAATTCCACTAGGAATGTTTCCAGTCAACCCGTTAGACCATAAATTCAACAAAATAAGGTTCGAACGTCTACAAAGATGACTTGGTATTATGCCAGTGAGGTTGTTCTCTGAAAAATCAAGCACCCAAAGTGGACTGTACACGCCAAGACTCTTGGGAATGAGGCCTGACAGCATGTTATTGAAAAGTTGCAATTGAGTTAGATTAGGCAGATACTGCAATCCTAGAGGAATGGGCCCGGTGAGAGAGTTGATCGAGAGATCAAGCTTGGTTAAATTCCTTAACTCACTCAATTCTGGTGGAATGTTGCCTGTAAGCTGATTCTGGAACAAGAAAAGCAGGTGCAAACCCTTATTGTTACTCAGTTCAGATGGTATTTTTCCTGTCAATGTATTCTCTGAGAAATCTATTTCTGTTGCCCGAGTAAGATTCCCAATCATTTTTGGGATTGTCCCATTCAATGAATTTCTGTACAAATATAACTTCTCCAAGTTCTTCAGGTTTCCAATCTCTGCAGGTATACTACCCACTAAATTATTCTGGTAAAGGGCAAGTGTCACGAGGCTGCTACAGTTTCCAAGCTCCTTAGGGATAATTCCAGAGAGTTGGTTGTCCCAAAGAATTAGTTCGGTCAAGTTTGTCAACTTCCCGAGCTCCTTTGGGATCTCACCTCCTAGCAGGTTCTGGGCAAGACCAAGTCGTTTCAAGTTCTGGCAGTCACCTATCTCCACGGGAATGCTTCCAGAGATCGAATTTTGCCCCATCCGTAATATAACTAGGTTCTTGAGCCTGCCGATGGAACGAGGCAATGGACCTGTGATGTTGTTAGTGTAGGCCACTAGTTCCACAAGCGATGAAAGACCTCCGATCGACTCAGGAAGAGAGCTCGATAGCTTGTTGTTACACAAATTGCATTTTAACAAAGAGGAAAGGGTACCCAATTCATGAGGGATTTCACCTTCAAAGTTATTGCTATTGAGATACAAAAACTCTAACTTTGAGCAATTTCCAATCTCCCTAGGGATTGTTCCTGATAACTCATTGAAGGAAAGATCAAGATAAGTTAGGTGAACTAATCCACCAATGCTCAGGGGGATGCTTCCAGATAGATTCATGGAGCTCAGATTAAGGCCAACGACCACTGCATTGAGGTCGGAAGTGCAATTAACACCCGTCCAACCACAAGGTGTACGATCGTTAGGGTTCCAACTATCTAGGTGGTGCAGATCATCCCTCATTGTACTCTTAAGATCCAACAGGTATTGTCCTTCAATGTTTACCCCTTCCGAAATATGTATGACTACAGAGGCCAATAATGCTACAAACTGAAGAACCACCAAAACAGAAGCTCCTTCAGAATTTGAAATCTCTGGCATCTTAGCCATCATTATGACTTACACAAAGTGCTAATGTTGAGATAAGTAAAGCCTCAGAGCATCAAGAATAAAGCCAAACTTTTTAATCATCTTCTGCACTTCAAGAACTCAAGACCATTTTCCTGATACATGCAACAAAAATTGACAGAGCTCGTTTCATCAAATTGCAAGAAAAGATATAAAGCAAAAAACCAATCGTAGAAGCAGAATTACTTAGAAATCAATTCAACAGAAACAACAAATCCTAGAAGATTCAGCAAAAATTGTCTTACCTCCATGGTCCCAAAGCCTATGATCTGACGGATGCAACGCTTCATTGATGATATATCAAGCCACAATTTGTTGCCGGTGTGATAAGCTGAACTTTTCTACCTCAAGAAAGCTCATGACAATATCAATTCTTCAATCAAGCCAGAATTTGCTTCTGGTATGGTAAACTGAAGTTTCTGATTTCAAGAGAACTCATGACACTATCATTGCCTCAAGCAAATAAAATAACCAAGCCCTCAAAATTGTCACTTGCTTCTCCTCTTAAACTAAAACAGTTCAATACAAAATTATCGCACCTAACATTTGGAAAACTTGTTGTCGATCCTACCGAACTTGGCGGTGATATCCTCAAAATCAAATCAAAGCCTGGGAATTCCACTAGTGGTCCATTGAACTGAGACAACTCACTTCAAACCCAACTCAGCTTTTACGACTTTCTTGCGAAAGGCACCAAATCCTTTCCAGACCGATATCCACATGGAATTCCACTTTCTCTACCAAAGCCGCAAGATTGCTGCCCCCAGCACGAAACCATAACCAATTTCCCCCTACCAATACTGGAGTCTTCAAGTTTGCAACCTCAGCCTGAGCATCAAAGCCGCACCTTTCTGCAAAAGAAACCCACCGTTTCGAAGGAGACGATAAATCTCAGCTTAAGTCCTACAAATCGCCCCAAAATCCTTCGAGAAAAATAGACTCGCCAGCAGCAAACATCACAAGAAATCGCGAATCCTGCACCTTTTCGTATGCCGGGACCGTAAAGGAGCCGACTTCCCCGACTTTCTCGAAGAGCGGAGTGCAAAGCGGTCGCCTTTTTCTCCTGTTTCGCTTCTTCGACCCGTCGATGCACGGGTTCTATCTCGGTTCAGTCCATTCCCAACGTGGAATTTCACGCCCACTGGTCCACTGCATCTTCCCTGCTTTTGGCCGCATCCGACCCTCACCGTCGATCCATAAAGCAGACAGATTTTGTAGGAAAGGTCCAAAGTTGGAGGGAAATGGGAAAATAAGGCCACAGGACAGAGAGAGAGAGAGAGAGAGACGCCACAATAATGGCCGGCAAGCATGCTTTCAAGTCTCACTTTCCATCTCTTTCTCTCACTCCCCCCTGAGCCCACTTCTCCTTCCTCCTCTTTGTTTTCCTATTCAGCAATTAGCACTTGCTAATTCTAAATAACTATTCTCTAATGATTTCTTCACCATATTATTCCATGTCTTCCAACTTGTAAGCCAATGGTGTTGAGCTCAAATAGTGGAGTGTCTTTCACAGGCTCTGAACAAACCCCAAAGAAAAAACTCCTCTCTCTACCCACCATCTCTTATTTACTAATATTTTACTAGTTTCTCACTCTTGTGGTTTCTCTATCATTAATATTTATATTGGTTACAATTAGTTTAGTGGTGTTGAGCTCAGTTGTATTAATGGCTCTTGGGATTTGGACAAATTCCAAGATGACTTTTCTCTTCCATTATTTTTATTATTCTCACTTGTCACTGATTCTTATGCTAATCTTTTTTGCACATACTGTAAATTTTTTTCTTTAATAGTGTTTTATATGATAAGTATTGTACTAGTGGCATCAAGCTGAGATCCACAAGGGATTCAGTCAAGGTTGGTCTTCAGAAATTATTAGTCAAAGCATTGATCATGAAGAAGATCTTGGTCAAAGGATTAGTCATTAAGATGCCTCTTGTCAGAATCCTTCAATTCTTTTTTCACATGCATTGATATCATGCTTGAGTAGGATACAAGCTCAGTTTTGGTAATGGTAAAGAAAACATGGAGTGCTTAGTTCTAGAGAGAAACTGTGGATATATAGCTGTCCTAACATTTATGACTCCAGTTTCTGGATTTAGCATCATTTTGTGTCTGAGATTTTACTTGGTTTAAGTTTCTTCCCAAGAAAAAGTTGGACACCTTGTAAACTGTCCTGTCTACAGTTGAGTCACAAAAAAGTTCATGGAGAAATTAGAAACTATGTTAATATGAATTGTCTGATCAAATGAAGCCATAAGAAATTTTAGCTTAGGAATTATTCCATCACATATTTGTACTTGCTAAGCAGAGTTTGCTTGTAATGCATATGTAATATGACATCCTTCCTTCCCTGAAGATCACTGTCTGAGTGCTAATTCAGATATAAATTTAAGTTGATTGTGTTTAACATCACCAAAATAAACTTTATTTTGTTAGGCTGCAGAATTGACATGTTCTACAAGCATCAGTTGTTGGCCTGTAAGCCTCAATCCAATCAAGGAACAGATGGAAGGAATGAGATTTGAGTGACCAGAGAGGTGTCCAGGAACATTGCTTCCAAATTCTCTCTACTTGACATTGAATCCCCACTTCTTGTCTTTTCACTGAGGAATGCCACACTTAGATCGTTTATATATATATATTTATGTTCAACAATTGTAAGATCATGGCTAACAACAAAAAGGACAAACATCATTAGCTTTTACAATCCCTTGGGCCAACCTCATACTCACAAATCTAGCTTTATCCTCATCTTATTGAACCCTTTGTGCTGCTTGAAAGAGACAGCCATGTTTATCCTTTACAAACTCCCATTCTCTTCATCCTCAGCTTGAGGGTTTGTGTGACTCAGATCAAGGGAATTCTGAATGACACAAAAAGTACACTGAGAGCAAGGGAAGGGGTGCACCAAATTTTTCTTCAAGTTGAATTGAAACCCTCTCCAATAAGCACAAAGAATCACATGTATTACAAGAAAAATGTAGTTGGTATGTTACATCAAATAGAACAGAGATTAGCTGTATTTGGTATGTTACATCAAATAGAACAGGAGATTACTTGTGGAAGCTACACATCCCTTCTTTTCTTCACATAGCTGAGTGCAAGAACTGGTCATGTACTACACATGTGGATGGATATGTCAGCAGTGGTGCTGTTGGAGTTCCATTGGCAGATGAGAAAACCTGCAAGAAAAATTATCCCAAACAGGATCAAACTACTAAGTCCCCACAAGCTGATGGAAAAGACCAAAAAGATAGTCCAAGTGGCTTGTTTTCATGTGGTCTCAAACTTGTAGCTTGTTTCATCCACCAAAGCTTGCTTTGACAGGCTCTCCAACACAGAATGCAACATTCTCTGTAGTGACTCAATCAAGCTGAAGAAACTGTCCACCTTAGCCAAATAGATAGAGAATAATTAGGGTTGCAGTGCAGGACATGAACACTCTGGACTTGCAGTGTCGGCAGCCAACGAATTCACAGAGACATTGAACTGATAGATGTGATGCATGGTCCATCTGACAAATTAGACCAATTGATGTGTGTGTGGAAGAAGACAGGAGGAGCAAGACTTGGACTGCTCTAGCCTCTGTTACTTCCTTATCCAATGATCTGCTTCACTGTCATTGAGATGTCAATATATCTTTTTGTTTCCTCTTTTGTTTAGTGTTAAATCAGAGAATATATGATCTTGGAATTAAATTTCCTTTAGGTAGATTGCTATATACATATATATATATATATATATATGTATATATATATATGTATATATATACATATATATATATCAGTTCATAATCAAGTAAAAGCACAATATTTTGTTCCAAGTTTCTATTTCTTCTTGGTGGTTTTTCTTTTTAAATTGAAAAAAGGAATTAAATGGAAAATAATTCTATAGAAAAGCAAATGAAAAAGGTTAGAAAAGGAAGCAAGTAATTTTCTGAGGGATTTAAATAACCAGAATATAGTATGCCAGTTAAACAATCAGTATCAGAAACCTGTAAACGGTTGCTGATAAATTGCCATGATCTCTGAGATAGTTCAGTAGCTCACACCTCAAAACACAATAATAAATGGAAATATTTCAACATCACAATCAATCATAATGAACCACAAACCATGTTCCATAAAATATTTAGCATTACTTTTTGATCCATCAGCAGTTGAAAAAAAGGGTATTCAAGCTGTAAATCCAAAATCTCAAACAAGAAGCAATTACATATCATGGAAAAAGGAATTCCAAAGTCATTTGTCATGGTTTTCAGATTTCAAGTCATGAATGATCTCTACTTGCTGATTGATAGTTCTTATGGAAGAATTGTGCATTAAAAAGCTCCTCTTCCTCCTCCTTTAAACTATTATTAATCCAAGCAGAGGCCTACAAGGAATGAAGTCTCATCAAAATCAAAAGTTTGCCAGCAGGTCCACCTCCACTTCGCTGTTGATAGCAACAACTCGATCATGCGCACAGAGAAGGCAACAATTAGGGAAAAGCTACCTGGCCACTTGTTGCTTAACTTTTTCTCCTTTTTCCACATTTATTTATCTTTTTTATCATTATTATTTCGAAAGGAAAGTGGATCCTTCGTTTGAAGTGTGATTAATATTCCATGGTGGGTGTTTATGTGGCACACTGTGATGTTTGGAGGTTCCAAAGATTGATCGAAATGATATGTATCTACATTGGTGTTTATCGGTTTGTACCGATAGGTATTTAGATTTTTATTTTTATAGTTGACATTTGATTTTTATTGAACTAAGAAAAAGTCAATATTGACAAATTATTTTATGCTATAATGCGTATTAAAACTAATAGTTATTTAACACTAAAAACATGTAATCTGATTGGCAAACAATGATAGACTCGATAATTGGCCATTATTTGCATTATGTAATGGACCAAGGAAATGATTAGAGGTATAAAATCAATCATTTGTTTTCATGGTCAGTGAATCATGAGATATGTGTTTCCAAAACATGATTCCTCATATCAATGCTCACTTACCCCAATAGATATCCACAATGTTCTCATTGATGATCTGATGTGGAGATCTTATTTTATCTTCCTCATGCCACCACCCTATTGCTTGTCACACTCAATACTAATAGCTTGCCACCTAAAATTATCAGAAGATAATATATGCTTTTCAATACTATATTGTCACATTTATAAGCACATTTTCATTTGGCAATCTTCATTAGTTGACATTTGACATATCAGATGTAGAGGAAACCATTTCAACATCACTTCACACCCTCTTGCTGGACCAGTTTCATATGCTGAAGCTTCATCCATTACTATCAAACTCACCTGCCTTTCATACCCTCTTGCTTTGCTTAAAGAAGGAAGAAATTAAGAACATCTTGCTGCTATTCTGTGCTTGTTAGATGCCAAACTGCTGCCAAGAACTTGTATTATGTTTTCATAATACAAGTTCATAATGAGAAGAATGCTTAGAATCATGAACCCATGAATTATGTCACTGGTTGCAGTAAATACTTTCTACCAATCTGATGTTACACGAATAACAGAAGCTGCAGTTCTTATTTTATGAGATATCTGACTATTTTGCTTGACCCGTGGCTGGGACATGTTGCCCTCTTTTGCCCTTTGCATATATCTTTTTTAAGGAAAAACAATTTCCATGAGTGGCTTCAACAATTTGACTTGCAACTAATACAAAAAAATAAGCAATTGATTACAATATCAAAAGAGAACTATAAACAAAAAATAAGATAAACATGCTCATCTTTCACACATTCATCTTAGCCTTGAAGCTCACACATCAACATCCAGCATATGCTAGATTCTAATCTTGTATTGTCATGTGTGATTAGAATCAGCATTAAGACTTAATGTAAAGTTCCAACTAATTAAATATTTATACCCAAACATCATGTCCAACAGTTTAGGCATCTCCTTGCTTGCCATTATACTCATCATGTTGCATAAAATAAGAGGAACAAAAATAACTGACAGCTACTTGTAGGATCTTTTAGACGAGTGAAATAAAAGAACCAAGAAGAATAAGTGGCACTGGATGTGTAAAACCTACATAGTTTCATAAAACTTGATCAGAACATTCCAAGAAGAAATCACATCACCTTTTCATTCTTTTTTACTTTTAAAGTTTGGAGAGCTGATACAGTCTAAACACATTGACAATGAAGAGGAAAACATCAGGTTAGTGAATGAAATAAAACTCATCAGTGATACACTGATAAATACAGCAGTCATCAACACAATGTACAAACATCAGTGCTTGTGGAAGCATACCTCAGTCACAAAGAAAAATAAAATATACCAAAGTAACTGACTGTGCCTAAAGACAATAACAGATGCATGGCATGACACTTGAAGGGAGCACTGAGAAATCATCAAAGACATTAGGCATTGATATCTGCCAAAGCCTCCCCAACCAAATCCTTCAATACATCCCTACTAATCTCTTTGGCAATCTCCTGCACTTCTAATCTCATTGACTCAGCTAATCTCTGTCCTCCTTTTACTTTCATCAGTGCTCTATCAAATACTAGATTGTCAATGCCGCCCTCACCTGTTGCCCACATTGTTTTGACAGAAAATGAATCCCTCACTAGGTTCCATACCTCTACTGATACAGCAGAGTTGGCAAAAACATTTCCTAGATCCCTGCCAAATCCCCTATTCCATGGGTATGCACTTTGTAAGGTGGTCAAACCAGTTGAACCAATTTCTACTGCTGAGTTCACAGAGCCAAAGAGGAAATGCTGCTTTGTCCTTTTCTCCCTGTGCTCAGCTTCCTCTTTTTCCCAAGTAAGGAATTTTGCGAGCGGCACTGAATCTAATTGGCTATCAAGAGGTTGACATCCAGCAGAAATCATAGTAGCCTTCTCTAAACCAGAAGAGAGCACCTTCCGGGTAGATACAAAATGTTCTTGTTCATGGTTGTCGACCTTGGATGATGCCCCATTGCATTTAGAAAGATCTCGAGATGGCTTATCCAGGTAGGCATTCTCCCATGATAAGGATCGAACAACTGATTTGATAGTCGAAGGCCTAGGAAGAGCTTAGGATGAAGAAGAGACAGAAATCAGTAATCATATGAAAGGCAAAAAAAGAATGATGAAAGGTAATGATAAAATTATAATTTGGCCAACATTGTTATCAGAAGCTTAAGCTTATAGGAAATGACCCAACCTAAATTTAAACTCTAACATCTCCTGATGCAAACTGAAGGAAAAAATAATGATTCGACGCATGGATGCAAGTGCGACTTAACAGTGTAATCAACAAACTTTGATTCCCACAAGAATCCATTAGCTGGGTGATCACTATTTCCAACATCTTATGCATATGAGAAATGACCTGACTTATATTTGAACTCTAACAAGTGGGAAAAAAGATCATACCATGTGGATCAGCATTAGCTTCAGATGATCGGGACACGTTGTCATTTGTTTCATCTACAAATGGCACATGAAGAACTGAAGTAGGACTAGGTTGATCCTGGTTGCTTTTTAAACTCTCATAGTCCCTGAATTTGATCTCACCCGATGAATTATTGCATGTCTTGGCTTTCTCAATAGAAAAAGAAGCCTGAGAAGAATCTAAATCTTAGTTAAGCAGCAACTTCAAAGAGGAAAAATCAATAAAAAGTGTGACCTAATAGTATTTTCCACCAAGTTGAATATGCAATCAATATGCAAGAGCAAAACAAGAAAAGACATTTTATAGGAGATTATATCTCATTTTAAATTATGGATTTCTTGGGGGGTCCAGAAAAAACTTTGATATTCATTAAAAAAAGGCTTGCCTTATTTTCTTAAAGGCAATAGCCTTCAGGGGAAGGGTGAGTCTCTTCTTTAGGGTATTGCAAGCACGAGTTGCATCTTTCTTGGGATATTTTCTCATTTGTTGCCATATGGATGTTGTATTTTGTACAACTACCATTGATTTCTGTATTATGTTGCAATGAGAAAGAGGTCAATGTACAAAAGGCTTACAAGTTTACAAATATGTAAAAATTAGAAAGAAAGAAATCTGAATTACACAAGCAAATTTGAAAAGAAACTTACTTTTTTTGTTACTACAATAACTGGTGTTGGATAAGCTGCATTGCCAGACCTTTCCTCATACTTTGCCAGTGAACTTGTCATAGGAAAGTTCTTATAGAGAGGATTTATTGATTCAACATTTTTGTTTGCAGCTAAACCAGCACTACCAGACTGGGCCTTGTCATCAGAGCCCATCAATGGAGGAGAAACAGGGTTTTCTCTGCTTGTTTTCTTAATCTTTGAAGATAAAAAATTTGAAAATTTTTCTTTGAAAGTTGACTTTTCATTCTTAGACTCCGCTATCTCCTTTGTCTCCGTAGATTTGTTTTTCCCAAAGTCAGAAGATTCCTTATTCAATTCAATGTGATCATAAACAGAAGATGAGATGGGAACAGATTTTGACCTAGATAAATTTATAAGGGAGGTCTCCCTTTGCACGTTCTTTATTTTACCATTGGTCTTGCAGGATGTAGATAACTCTGGTTCTGCTTCTTGACCACATGATTTGCTGTTTGGTACAGTAAACTTATCACCATATTCACCTTCCTTTACCACTTTAATGGCAAGCATTTCACCTAAAGAGAATGAGCACCTTGGCAATCGTGTCTGTTCTTGATTATTCTCATTAGATGCCATGGAAGCCCATATCTCTAAAAGTTGCTTCTTCGCTTCCATAACAACTGATGACTTGGGTGAATTTGAATCCTGACTAAAGGTTAAGGCTGAGCAAGAACTACCAGTTCTGTTAGTATATTCCCAAGAATACTGTGAAGTTGAAGTCAAAATCTCCGAGTCACTAAAGCTGCCACCATCTTCTTCAGTGTTTACATTTTCTGGCTTATTCAATAAACTCTCATCTCTGCACCCATTCACGCTGACCGGAGAGCACAAGGATTTATCTGTCCAATTGCCAGTTATACTCTCCAGTCCCTGTTGACTGCAATTCTTTGCTGTAAATGTTGATCCAAAGGTTTCACTATCACCCAACTCTCCAAAAAAGCCACTCTGTTCCAGCAATTTACATAAAGTAGTTGGAGGGGTTACCTTGGATTTCTTTTCACGGGGCTTTCTAGTGCTAGGCTTTAGGACCACTATCCTACTTGGCAGGGAAAAAATATCAGCATTTGTTTTAGTGAAACTAGAGCTCCAACATTGTTCGTCACAGATTTGCTTGGTTGTTCCTCGTTCACACTTATTGACCAATGGATATTTCTCTTCCATCACCAGATTCTCATCCTTTTTCTCAACCTTTTGTGAAGGCTTCAATACAGTAATGTGCTTTTTTTGAAGTGGTGGACTCATATGGACATTTCTAATATTCTTCAGGAAAAGGGAACCCGGATCTTGAAGAATTTTGAGAAATACATCTCGGTTTGAACTGAGAATCTCCAGGGCATCTTGGAACTCTTTGGAGTGAAGTAGTTTTTCATCTTTTGTCACATGCTTTGCTTCCATGAATATTTTGCGAACAAAGGCCTTTTTATTTTTGTTCTGGTTCTCATTACAATTTCCCCACAGATCCTTGATACCACTGGCTCTTGAAGGTTTCTGTGATACTTCATATGCATCCTGGACCTTCATCTTGTCATAGTCACATTGCTGACGCTTTAAAATGACTTCTTGCTGATGGCAACCCTTCAGTGCTCCTGCTAAGGTAGTTGATGGATAATCCACTTGCATATTCCTTTTAGTAGAAATGGGGACATGTTGTTGAGCTAGTGCAGGATCATCAATTCCCATTAGTTGGGCCACAACACTAAGTGATTTCCGCTTTGACTCTGTTTCTTTTGATATCTCATTTTCTATTAGCATCTTAATCTGTGTTTGACCTGAACTGCAACTTGAAGAATTCTTCTCCATATCAGGATCTATCTGCAGTAAAATTGAAATCTGAATATGGATAACCTCCAAAAAATGCTATATAAACTTCAGTATATCTGACAGTCTCAGCTGCTTACTTGTTTGCAATCCACATAATTTGATTTGGATCAGTGGGCTTTCTGATATTGAATTTGTTTCAACAAACTGCAGAACCCACTAGTCACTGGTCTTAACAATAACAAAGGGGACAAGCTCTGAGAATCACTTCAAAGATTAATTTAGAACTGACCAAGCAATTGACATAATTATCTGAAACATCTAAGAAAATTTGCAACTTGTCAAGAAAAGATTTGGACATACCATGGACTAACTACAAGACTATTAATTTCCAAGAGAGTTATAAAGTATAAGTAAACTATACAAACAAGTACAGAATATTAACAAGTATGTGCAAAGACCATATAAGAAAGTTGTTGGATGTCATTTACACTCTTTAAGAACCTAAGTGATACGTCATATGAAGTGAGAAAAGGTCTAAATTGTGAATGTCGTATTATCATGGACCACATTTGCACATTTTCACGGACCACATTCTAAGGATTATTATGTTGGTACATATGGGGCAACATGTACAATGCTAGAAAGATCCTGGCATGTGGTGCTATTTAGTGCCGGTAATGCTGTAACATGGCTAGGCCATTTTTTGGCAGCATAGAAGTGTGCCAGCCTTTACAGCGTGGTCCCACATCATGCCAAAATGATTTTGGCACACCAACATGGCATCATACAACAATCCTCGGCAATCAGAATTGCACCAAAATGATAATAATATTTATAACAACACTGATAGGAAGTAATGGCATTTTTTATGCTATACAGGACCACACATGCGCAATAGATTTCACATATACAATAGTGCTGCATGCTGAGACTACATTGTCAAGAAAGAAGGTCATATGGCCTACATGTACATGTGATCTCATATGTAGCCATATATTTTTGAAAGATTGTTTTTAATTATAGAGAAAAAAGAAACTAGCAAAATTAGGAAGCAAAGATTGTTGCTAAGAGTACAAAATGGAGAACCAAGAAAGATAATCAATTGAGCAGATATTGCAAGCAATACAAAGAAAAAATGCCAGTAAAGAAAATTATATCGAGTGCATTAATAAACTAATGGAATTCATGTTAGTACTGTTGTTGTTGTCGCACCAAAATAAAATAAAATAACCAAAGATCAAAAAGATCCAGGACAAACAGCATGGATGTTCAAGATTACAATTTATGGAAAATTAAACACATAAATGATATTAGAACATACGAAAATATGAGACTGAAGAGCTACCATCTCTTTGAGCTCTATCAGTTATCAGTCCTCTCTTGTTAGTCAAATCATGTATGCAAGTCATCCTTTCTATACATCCAGAGAGAGTCTCTGATGCCTAAATGAAAGGAGATGCAATACAAGGTAGTTCCTCACTATTTATTCACAGAACTCTGTACTGCAAAATCCCTCACCAGTGTCAAAAGTAGAAAGTTGTTACAAGTGTGACGAAAGGAGTTATACCTCAGCTTCAAACTACCAAATTGAAAAGAAACTAGAATCAGGAAATGCCAGATAACAAGATGAATATCTCACCATTATAAGCTTGAAAAAATACAAGGGCATATAAGATTCCTAACCAAAGAAAGGATATTGTATACATTTTACTGCACAACGATGCCAAACCCTTGTTGACAAGTACATCATTCAGGTCCAATTTGTTTGCCAATTTTTCAGAAAAATGTCCAGCATTGTTGAGAAAACAATCTCATCCCAGTTCCAGTTTAGATATCTTCAAAGTCTTCTTTTTCTTCAAGAATGCCTCAAAAATATTGGAATTAGAGATGCTATCTTCAAGTTCTTTCATATAAATATGGAAAACATTGGAGAACGTGGAACCCCAGTAGCAGACTCTATGGGCTAGGGAGATACAGCAAGAAAGCAAGTGACAAGGTAGAGAAGAAATAGCCACAGATTAAAAAGACGGATTTTTCTTTCTCTCCGTGTCTATGGTTAAAATGGTGTACATAAGTTCCGAGAGGTCAAACGAGACAAAGATTGATGACCAAAATGGTTAAAATAGAACTGTCAAGAAGATTTGCATAAAAAGAGGCATGGCATTTGAGTGAGGATAAAAAAAAAAAAAGAATAACATACATTCAGATAAAATTTCAGTAAAAGCACTTTTTACACAATGCATAGAAATTCTCAGATTTTTCTACGAATGCCACCAAAATGGACTTCAGAATCCACAATCCAGCTCAAATTATTTTCTTTTCCAACCAAAACTACCCAATTCCGCCAAAAGAAACCCAATCCAACACGACGTCTCGGATTCTTGCTGAACAGGACTACGGAGAGCTAAGAACCGCAGAAGAACGAACCCTAACTCCGAACCCCACTGAACACTCACTCCACCTCCGGCCGATCGACCGTGTGGAAATGTCAACGAACAAAGCACAAGAAAGCAGTGAAGGCGCACTAGGAAACAGCACAATGACGAAAAGGAGACATCTTTGCAACCCCATATCACCACATACCTCGCTTCTTCCCCACAAGACAACACTCCTGACGCCGGTGATCACCGCCGAAATAGGAGGAAGAGTTAGATAGAGAGAGATTGTGCGTTTGCGGTTGGCTGCAACAGGGTGGCGACCATCGCGGCAGAGCAGGCGGACGTTAAACGAAGCCAATTTATCGGCTTTACTCCCTTTTAACTTCACGTAGCCTTCGGACACCTTCTCCGTTGTCCTCAGCCGCTCTCACAGGCGATATAGTGACGCGATTCCTGTGTCTGTGTCAAGCCACCAAACACAAAACCAGCCCCCTAGATAGCCATTGTTCTCGTGGGGTCCACCATCGGCGACCAACGGGGTGCTTTCTTCTACGTAGGTTTTCCGTGATCCTTCTCCCTTGTCCTCAGCCGCTCCCACGGACGGTACAGCGACGCAGCTCCCGTGTCTGGGTCAAGCCACCAGACACAGAAGCAAGCCCGCTCAGTCGCCGTAGTTCTCGTGGGGTCATCACGGGCGACGAATGCGGTTGGGGTCGAGCCCGAATCGCCATCCTTCCGTCGTCGTGCTCAGGGTAACGTGGCACTTATGGCGCGGTGACGGTAAGGGATCCCATTCACTGTTATAATTACTCGTGCTGGTGGAAGGAGGACGAGAGCATGATGGAAAAGTTGGGGTCACGTTCCACTCATCATTCTCCCCGTATACATAATAAATGTACAGGTAGTCTAACGTAGTAGTATTTGGTTGACACGTACGGATAATACGCTCGCATGTTCCATGGAAACATGAATAGCAAGCACATCTCCACCGTCCAATGCACGCTAGATTGGGAATATGGTGACCGTAATACAACGATATATATGACTTAGAAGTGTATGTTTTCTACGTAATTCCGTACGATATACGCGTCGAGGCATTAATTATCTTGCTATGTATGAGGTAAAAGAAGCCCAAGTGAAGTGTGAGCTGGATGTCCTCCCCAATTTATTCTTCCTTCTGTTCTTGTGCAGGGTGGTACCGAGGTCTCAATGTGGTGGCGTTTAGCTCACCCACCCAGCATGTGGATGCGCAAATGATTGAGACGCGGTAGAAGACACACCACGGGTAGAACTTACAATTGCCCTCGTCGTTCCATTCCGCCCTTTCTCTTCCGCCACCAACCACCGTGTCGGGTCACGAGACTCCTGCTGCCGAGCGAGAGCTCGCGGGTGTTCGGCTCGCCTGTCCTGCGCCAGCCGCCGCCCGAGGAAAGGGCGCTTGCTACCGGTCGATGCCGCGGGATCCACGCTGCCCCGGTCATATGAATATGATAGCTTTTCGTGTTTGGTGCCTCGGTCCGGGTAAAGTTGTGGATCGCGGGACCCGTCTCTGCAAAGAAGGGACCCACGCAAGATACACCAAACAAATTCCACCCGATTTCGCATGCCCATGTCCGACCCAACATATGGGACCCGCACATGAGGTTCACATGATCTCATTTACCACCAATCTCATGTTGGTGAGAGAGAAGTTTGGGAGGAAGAGATGACACATAAAATGCTTTGCAAACGAATCAATCAAGCTAGAAAAAATAAGTTATTGATCTGATTTAGTGTTGAAATAAATGATAAATCTTGGTCAAACTATTATGATTGACAAACTCAATAGATGTTGTCATTCATTTTACATTGATATTTCTCACCAACTTTTTTTATTCAAGGCATACATATCAACTCAATCCAAAAATATAATACTTTTGAATTGTTAGTTAAACATAATATATGTCACTGACTCTTTCAACACTTACAACACTATTCTCTTTCTAATTTCTTAATATATATTTTATACATAAATATTTTTATATTAATTTTTTTAATTTGGTTAAAAATTAAAAAAAATTAATTATTTTATTTATATATTGTTACGAGAAGATATCGTTCATATCATAATCGACCCGATATGATCTTAAGGGTTATTCGAGATACTTATGAATGAAAAACGTAACGTTCATAAGGTGTCATCTACATGAAAATCAAGATCGTGAGAGATTTCCTGACATAATTGTTTTGACATCCAAGTTAGTAATCCAAAATAGATAAGTATGGACTCGAGTGGTCGGTGATTCTCTTTTTTCATTATATTGAAAATGTATTTTTATACCCGATCATAAATGGATAGAATATTCTTAAAATATTATACGAGGAAACAATTGCTAATCATTTTTAACAATCTTTACTTGATCTTTTATCCATGTGGGCGATAAAAGTGGGATAGTTTATAATCATTTATCTAGTACCTTAATCTCCTTGGCTCTTGGTCATTACCATCTTGGTTACCTCCTTGAATATCCAACCTTGCAAAAGAGGCGGTAGCACTCTTGGTCATCACATCGTGGCCATCTATGGGATCCAATAACCCCCTCTAGTAGCTTTGCCCAATTTCGTCATCAAGGTCATGGTCGCCAATGGCAGAGACAGTCAAAGAGCTAATAAAGTGCGACAACAACAGGAGTCGCAATGTCAGCATCGAAGAGGGGTTGATTTTCCAACCTCCTCACCTCAACAATGAGGGGCAGGTTAGGATTTTCGACCTCCATGGCTCAATGACGAAAAGGGAGTGTTGGGTGCCTAACCTATCTATCTTGGGTGAAAGTCACAATGAGCACTATAGCGAACAGTGATGAGCGAGCAATATGGGCCCATGAGCAAGCAACAAGAGTCGAAGATAACATTGGTGAGGGCATTGTTGGTGATGGCATGGACTGCAATGAGGACTTCATGCAAGAGATGTGGGCAATACGACGGGCTACATAGACTCTTATCACCGACCTACCTCTCCCATCCCTAAGGGACCCACCTTGAGCAATGGAGGTTTGTTTTTATCTTAGGTTGTAAAGGCTCTCATCATCGACCTGCTCCTCCTGTCATTAAGGGACCCACCTTAGGAAAATGAGGTCTGTTTCTACCCAAGGTGCCCACCTCATATGAGGATCACAATGATAGGTGAGTGAGCGACGCGGGCCCATAAGCAAGTGATAAGAGTCACAGGCGACGCTAGTGAGGGTGCTGTTGGCGATAGTATGAGTTATAGTGAGGACCACAGGTGAGGGGCTGAGAGAACTATGGGCGATAATGCAGTGGATTGCAAAGACTCCCACCATCGACCTATCCTTCTCATCACTGTGGGACCCACCTCGATGGAGGGGGCATATTTCTGCCCAAGGTACCTATATCAGTCTGTTTTTGCCTCAAGTTACGAAAGCTCCCATTATCGACCTACTCCTCCTATCATCGAAGGACCCACCTCAAGCAGAGGGGCCTATTTCTACTTGAGGTACCCACCTTGGACGAGGATCGCAGTAACTGTTGTGGTAGACTATGGTGAGCGAGTAGCACGGGCCCACCAAAAGGTGATAGGAGTCATGAGCTGACACTGGTGAAGGTGCTACTAGTCGTGGTGTGGGCTACGATGAGGATCATAAGCGAGGAGTGCGGGTGCTACCGGCATCGATGTGATGGGTTGCAAAGATTCCCATCATTGACCTTGGGCGAGGTAATTAGGGTCATTCGTTTCTTCTTCCCTATGGTGACTTTGGGGTCGGGGTTGATTTATGGTCACTCCTACTTCGACCTCTTGTGTGACTTCTCAAGTTTGTTTGAGATCATTGTCTCGATCATAATGTATTGATTGACCATTTGAAATGTCAAGTACAAATGCTGATAATTTTTTTATCAACGATAAGAAGAGGCGAAAGAACTTTAGCTCCATCACGAAGGTTTGTACTATGAATGGTAAATGAGTATTTACCCATTGGATCTCATTTGTAAATCAAGCGATAAAGTTGGTGAGCTTTTTTCTTTTTTTTTTCTTTATCTCCTATTTGAGTCGAAAGGCACGGAGAGAAAATAAAGTTCGAACTCCGTGGATAACAAAAACTATTGCAAAGCACGCAGGTTAAGAAATAGCATCGAAGAGCACTCTTCTAAAGTTACGAAATGATGCTTGCTTCATTCTCCACATTTCGGTTCACTTCAGCTGTAGCAACATCTTGTATGTCTGACAACACTATGCCGGAACAGCTTCCTTCATATGAATTCAGCTAGTTTACTGAAAGTTTTCAGCCAATTGTTTCTTATGCTTCTTCTCAGTAATATATGCTATGTAGCTCTGGATATTGTTTCTTGTAATTCCAGAATCCTTGCCCAAATCAAAGCTAGTTAATACATTTTATTTTTTTTCTTTTTGTGTTCCCATGGCCAGGAATATAAAATTTAGGCTGAGTGAAAATATAAAATTAATTAGTCATCATTATCAAATCACTATTCATCACATCAATATTATATTAGGCCAACACCTTCTGTCCGTGAAAATCGAAGCCCAAAATATAGTTTGAATAAGAAGAGAGTTCAAATCAATTACAAATCAATTTCCTATAGAATATTCATAAAAATATTCTAAAAAAAAAATAGTTTGAATCGATTATGAATCGACCCCATATAGAATATTTATATGAATATTTTAAGAAAATCAAAAGTAGTTCAGGATAATTACGAACAGACTTCTTTGTAGTATCTTAATAAGATATTTTCTTTCAGATTAATATAAAAAAACCTCCTTAATTCTAAATTATGGAAAAAAAAAAAATGTATAACTAAGTACTAACTTAATTCAGAAAACCCCTTTCGACATTGGTCATTGTGCGTAAACAAAACCGAAGAAACCACTCTATCATAAAAGAGTCCTTATATATGGATCAGAGCCGCAACATATTGATATAAAAATCAATTATAATTTTTCTTAACACGCGCCTTCCCAGCTTTCTTTACCTAAAGTTATCAGAGGATGTTCATAGCACCTTTGTTTCTGTTTCATTGACTTCCGGTTTACATAATGATTGACTCATTAACTTCATAAATTAGAATTATTAGCCTTAGCTGCTATCCGAACACTGTAGACCGTCGAACTCCCACCCTTATTATTGGTTATAATATTTAGCATTTAAGAATACCCTGATTGAGCCTGTAAAGGCTTCCTGCATGTGTACATACTACTATGATTGAGAACAGTGTTTGGCTTGCAACTTATGCTGCCTTCTGAGATATCTTAGCTTGGATATTTCTTGTAGATAGTGAACGTCGATGTTCATGGGAGAGAATCTCTGTGGCTATGATCAATTTATGTGGTGATAAAGAGG